GGCCTCCAACCTAAAAGCGATGGCTTCCAACCTACTAGCGATGGCCTCCAACCTACTAGCGATAACCTCCAACCTACTAGCGATAACCTCCAACCTAAAAGCCAAGGCTTCCAACCTACTAGCGATGGCCTCCAACCTACTATAGCGATGGCCTCCAACCTAAAAGCGATGGCCTCCAACCTAACAGTGATGGCGTCCAACCTACGAGCCATGCCCTTCAACCTAAAAGCGATGGCTTCCAACCTACTAGCGATGGCCTCCAACCTACTAGCGATGGCCTCCAACCTACTAGCGATGGCCTCCAACCTAAAAGCTCAGAAACAAATCCCCTTCAAATTCCTTTCCAAAAGATTCCCTCTGGTCTGGGGCGCCTTCTCATCGTGGCCACCGAGGCTGAACCCTCCAGGAGCCCCGGTCGGCCACTCCGTGCGCATAGAGCGTCCAGAAAACATCGGCGGGTGGCGACCACACCGGGTGAACAGCGGGGAGAGCAAACAGGGTGCGTTGCTTTTGCCCTGGTTCCGAGACCCACACGGAACCCGAAAACGCCGAGACCCACGCTGCAGCTGGAGGTTCCGCTAGTCTTCCAGTCTAGTCCAATGCCATCAAGTTCCTTGTGGGTCTCTTCACGAGTGTATATGGACTCCTGGAGCCGTTTGCTCTTTTCAGTGTGTTGAAGATCAACCCAAAGGCATGAACTCCAAAAAAGAAGTACCTGGAGTCTCAGTTCGTACCTCGGAAAATGGGTACAAGTACCTGTTTTTTTTAAATGGGGTCATGTCCCATTTTCCAAGGTACTTGAAGTCGGGTCCAGCTATATGAAGGAGTTCTTCTTTTTTCACAGAAAGAGGATGCCCGGTCTTTGTCCCTCGGCTCCAAGGGGACCCTGGCGTCCGCGCCCTTCCTGTTTCGCCATGCACCTGTTAAAAAGATCCTATGGAGTGACCAAGCACCGCATTTCTTCCATAAAGAAGCACCGATGTTTGGTGCAAAACATGGTCAAACGGAAAAATGGTCTTGGATGCATATCAATTCAACACATGTTTTTAGTCAACCCATGGATCCCTTCATTTGCCATGTAGCAGTTCATTTTTGCGTTCAAGCGTTCCATTCCTGGACGATCGCGCAGGGTGAAACCCATCTTCGAAAAGCGGCTTCCGGTGGTGCACGGAGCCGGGAAAATGTGCCGGGCAAGCGACCTCCCCACGAGTCTCGGTCGTTGGGAGTAAAACTCACCGCTACTCCCTGGGAGTCCAACAACCATTCAATTTAATGATCTTTACTATGTACAACCTGTGTTTGATTAAGGGTTTTAGATGGTTTTAGACGACAAAGCAAGGTCAACCTGTTGTTTCATGGTCTGAGCCTAGCGTGGCCTGTTGGAGCCTCTTGATGTTACATAGGACCACATCTCGGGCGAGCGAGGGACCGACCTAGCTAGAGGAGAGGGATTGCCCCCCCAACGAACCTCTTTCTGAACCAACCAGGATAAGGGCAGACCCAAAGCACGGATGTTGCGTCCAATCCTTACATGTGAGGATTCGCGGCTTCGCTGTTTTCGTTGCGGCTGTGAGTTGCCGTGTTTTGGGATCCCCTGTTGTTTTTTCCGAGGGAGTTGGTCCCACGAAGGGAGCAGCCTCTTCAGCAGGCCTCGAGCAGGCCTTCGGAACTCCGTGCAGAGTAAAGGTTCGCCCTTCATCCGCTGTTCTTTATTGTTCATAGAATCCAATTCCCAACAAGGCTATAGAGGTTCACAACTGATAGTAGGGAGATCGGTCGACCGATGAGCCTCGTGGCGCGGGCAAGCCCGGCGGTGGCCAATTGGTGTGATGGACATGGTGTCTTGTGCCAGACCAGCCTCAGCTGGTTTCTCCTTTCAAGCGGTTCTTGAAGCTACGTAGCATCAAGCTGGTTTGGAACCGCCCAGACACTCCGAACAACCCTTGATTTCCGGAAACCCAAAAAGGGATCTTGTTTCAAAAAGATCAACCCCTTCCTGTACAACGATCCGAAAATGTTGGCCTGTTCGTTCGAACATGCGTGGCCCACATGCGGAAAAAACACACCACATCAGCGGCCGTCGACCCAAAAGCGCTAAGAGACCAGTTCAACAGGATGGCATGGTACCAAATAGGAACCGTCCCTGCAGGAACCTGGCAGTCATCCTGTTGAACAGGACCCGTTCACGAATGAACCATCGTTCGAGTTGAAAGTCCGTGCTTGGGACAAATAGAGGAGTCGACGCCAGGTGCCATGCGGGGGATCTATCAATCAACGTTTAGCCAACAATTAAAGGACAGTCAAAGCGCATGGCACGGGCGCACGAAGCAACTGAACAGGGTGGCATGCCAGGGGGGAGATCGTTTGACCCCTACATTACTGGTGTTGCCATTCCTGACATCATCATCCCATTGGGAACCGTTTTATGGGATAGCATGGCCCCGGCATGGCGCCCCGATGGCATGGCGCGGAGGAGCATGGTCAATCCGAAGACCCAACAGGTTGTTTTCACTTCACGAAAACATGATGATGTTCAATTCTACGCATGGCAGTACATACTACAAGATACTACAAGTAGGCCTTGGAAGATCGGGCAAGGATTGATAATGGACGAAATCCTCTACAAGTAAAAGGTACGCCAAGAGTCTCCATTTGCACCGCAATCGAAGGACCTGTATGGTGTTGCGTTTCAACCCCTACCAGCAACACCTTGTTTTCCCCACCAAAAGGGTTCTTCATACATCATGTGATTGGCAGGAGACATCCCAAATACGCACCTAAGCATCCATGCATGGGACCAAGAATCGACATGTTTTATGGACCCCTACAGGTGCCTATTCCACATAGCTTCCGCAACCTACCAATGCAAGCACAAAAAACACGACAAGCTTCCGAAATGGTGCCTTTGAGGGACTTGAACAGTTGCAGGTGGTATACAGTAAATCTGTTTAGAGTTGGGCCCCCGCGAAATGGACAAATCCATAATACACAGGCACAGCTATGGATGCTTCCCAGACTAAGTTGCAGGCACAAGTCTTACAATCCACAAGTAAGTGCACTCTTGCGCCCCCAAAACCGGGCGATTCGCACGCGTGGTGCGAATCGCTGACGGACCGGACACAGTCGGGCTGACGCTGACGCAGCTTGTTTTGCTCAGAATGTTAGTAGTCGGATCCAGAACTGCAACGGTTGGGTCTAGGGATTGGATGGCTAACCCTACCACTGAAGTGTTCACCTATAGTCAGACCCTTGCTGGTTCATGGTCCACTGGATTCCCATAGTATAGTGGAAAGAGCTCAAGGGGCTCCAACAGAAACCTCCAAAAAAGGGCGAGCTCCCACGGACACAAAGCTGGAACCTTTCCACAAAAAACTCCCGCGATGTTCTAATCTTTCGAAGTCTTTCAAAGTCGCAAGCCTCCCTATAGAAACCCAGTCCCAACCGGGAAATCAATGGAGGTTCCAATGTGGCTTGCTGGAGATCCTTCACGTAATATGGAAATGGATGAGTTCCAGGCAGGGGCTGGGGAGTTCCATCCAGTGTTTCTGGTTGGTTTCTTGGGGATTCCGGGTCCGTAGAGAACACGCTCAGAACAAGCGGCGTGCGTGCGTGCGTGCGTGCGTGCGTGCGTGCGTGCGTGCGTGCG